GATCCTAACAAGAATCTTTGTTATTGAAGAAGAAGACTTCAGACAAAAGCATCTTATATATGCTAATTTAAAATCTTACAAAATGCAATTTCTCATTTACTGCGTTAAAATCTTATCTACAAGAGTAATCACAAAATCTATCAAAGTCTTGAGGTGGATATGATAATTACCACTCAAAAAAAATACAAAGAATCTTGATTAGTCAAGCAAATCTTATACAAATGACTTCAAATGGTATATATTTAAAACTACCTAATTTATATTGTTTTATATATTTCCAAAAGGAAAAACCCTTATTTTCCTTTGACCTACCAATCTGATAACTTTGACTTAAAAGTAGTGTTTTGAAACTCGACCCAGTCCCGTAGTTGAACCGGTGAGCCCGGTGACCCCAAATAAATCCGGTTCGGATTTTGTTAAAAACCCAACATTAAAAAAACCCGCAAACACCCGAAAAAACCCACTAAAACCCGATACCGGTTAAACCACTGGTTGAACCGATAAATAAATTTTTACTTTTTTTTTAGTTTTAAAGTATGTTTTTATTCTATTATATATTCTTAATTTCTAATTTAAAATTTAGGTTTTCAAGTTTAATTATTGGTATTGCTGTCTTCTTCTTTCTCTACTGTCTTCTTCTTCTTTTTTCTTTGGTTTTTGATTGTGTTGTTTATCATAAATCTATCATACTACATGTTCTAAGTTCTACTACATGTTAAACTAGCTTTTGATATTTTGTATATTTATACATTTTATGTTTTAAAACATTTAGAAAATATTTAATTTTAGTTTCTATATTTTTATTTTCATAACTAATATATTATTATATAATAAAGTTTCATTTATATAATAAAGACTCATTTTGCTAAATTTATTCAGATCCTAACAAGAATCTTTGTTATTGAAGAAGAAGACTTCAGACAAAAGCATCTTATATAGGCTAATTGAAAATCTTACAAAATGCAATTTCTCATTTACTGCGTTCAAATCTTATCTACAAGAGTAATCACAAAATCTATCAAATTCTTGAGGTGGATATAATAATTACCACTAAAAAAAATACAAAAGAATATTTTATAGTCAAGCAAATCTTATACAAATTACTTCAAATGGTGTATTTTTAAAACTACCTAATATATATTGTTTTATATATTTCCAAAAGGAAAAACCCTTATTTTCCTTTGACCTACCTATTTTTAACTTTGACTTAAAAGTTACACTTACTCTATTATTTCTGTGTTTCAATTTCTCTTATTAAAATTTGAGAGTGAATCAAAATACAAATTATGTAATCAAAATAAATAAATAAAAAAAATAAAGAGGAAAAAAAACGTCAAGATGTTCAAAAAAAAAAATAAAAAAACTATTCGAGGTCCTTATCAATAATCTATTAGCCATGACGCACATTCATTATCTTGTAAACATGTTCGTTATTGAATATAGACATCCTCCACGTCAAAAGCCTTCACAATGTCGTTGGGAAGTGAGGAAAACGATGACGGAGATATTGAGTGAGTGATGTTTCGCGGTGGAGCCTCGTCGGCCATAGAGAGCGCGGAGTGAAAGAGATCAAGATTCTTTTATCTAGTTTATTAAAACAGACGTACATTTGCTACTTAACCCTAACTTTTCTTAAATAATTACAATAAATTGCCATGAACAAAACTTAAACTCACCATCTAAAGTGAACCTTTAAATTCATCTCATTACTAATAACCAATCATAAATTCATAATGTCACATAAATTAATGAATAAAAATAGTAAATATTTTTGAAAAAATTAAAACAACTTAAAAAAACAAAAAAAAATTACGATATTAAAGCCGCCAGTTAAACCTTAAATCCAAACCGTATCTTAAACTAAAATTCTAAACCGTACCTTGAATTCATGATCTAAAGTTTGGATTTAGGATTTAGGGTTTAGATTATAGGTTCTAGGGTTTGGGTTTAGGGTTTAGAATTTCAGTTTAGGGTTTAAAATATCATTTTAGGGTATAAAATTCGGGTTTAGGTTTGGAATTTAGGGTATGGAGTTTGGGTTTAGGGTATAGAGTTTTGGTTAGGGTTACGATTTGAATTTTGGATTTAGTTGACAGAGTTGAGATCATTAAAATTGATATTATTATTATTTTTAGTTATTTTAATTTTTTAAAAAAATATTTAATATTTTTTATTCATTAATATATGTGGCATTATGATTAGATATTAGATGGGAGTTGACCTGTTACCTAAAATACTATTACCTAAAACTTGACCCTATTTTTGTTTAATATTACGGAACCTGCCACCGGCCTTAATGGTTATTAATAACATAACCAAAGTACCTTAATTCAATTGTTTTACTTAACCACATATAACGTCTTCAAACCAATGATAAACACGGTTTACGGTTTGATTCTCACCACAAATACAACCTCTTCATAATACGGTATAAATTAAGTCAACTATACCAAAAAATTATCATATGTTAAGCAAATAATATATTTCATCACTAATGAGCATGTAGTGTTGTACTCTAATTTAAAATTTCCACTAGCATAAAATCAAATATGCTTTGTGTTTAAGACTACTTATCTATCTATCTATATATTACTATAAAAAAATATTTTCTATCTTTTTACATTGCCATGTCAGTAATAGGATGATTGTGGATTTGACATATGGATGTTTACAAAACGTGACCGTTTTGTTTGTTCAGTTTTTGTTGTGGGCTTTAAAATAGTCAAGGCCCATTATAAAATTCTGGTCCACTACCTCTGTCGCCGTCAAGAATGCTTTTCTGAAGCTTTCATGGCGTCTTTTCGTTTTCCTAACCGTGAGAGCACCGATTATATCAATAACTCTTCTCCCATGATCTATTCTACGAATTCTCAATTGCTTCTCAGAGATCCTAACCTGTAGCTTCTAAAGTCTCAGGTCTATACCTTGCCGTCCTGTATTTCTGCAGAGAAATAGCATGAACAAACCTGCAAATGGCTTTTAACATGATAAATGGTCAAGATAGGGTTATTCAAGAGCTTCAAAACAACCTTAGGCGTGGCTCCTAATGGTGGAAATTATAAAAAAAAATCAAGAAAAGAATAGGCTCCACTGTTTACAAAGAGAAGAAGAAAGCTTACGCACGTTCACTACCACCAAGCTGGTTAACAGCTTCAACAAACGCCTCATGAAGTTCTGGTGTCCAACGCATCCGCTGTTTAGTTTTTGCTGCACTAGCTGATGAGTTCAGCTGCTCCTCCAAGGAAACCACCTGATGCTGCTGGTTAGCTACTAGCATCTCTTTCCTTGGAACATCCAAAGATGGTGTTGGTATCTGTGCAAATCATGTGAACGCTGTAAGAAAAGGGTATGTGGCTAAACCTATAAGATCGAGTGTGATGTGTTCGTATGCAAGTATATATGACCATAAAGAAAAGAGACACAGAGATTTTTTAACGAGGTTCGTTTCCTACATCCACGGGACCACGTCCAGAACTCATTCACTAGAAAAGGCCGCAACAAACCATTGCTATATGGTATCCAGCACACACATGTGCCTACCACTCTAATCTAGAATTAGAATGAAGAGGAACTACTACTCTGACAAGTATAGTTCTCCATAACAAAACTACCAACAGATCTCCATCTGTCTGGTAGGACGACGTCACACACATTCATGTGCATCTTCAATAAATTCTAGACACGTGACGGCTTCATCTCCCCCACTAATCTTTTCTCATTAATTAGGTTTTCTTTAGTAATAAAGTCCTTAAAGCCAACGTGACTCTTGCCTTTTGATACATATTTCGTCGACCAAATATATGAGAATTTTCTATTTCATCGCATCTTGCTGATTCCTTTTTATACTCCGAAGTGTGTGTCACACACCATTCTCTGTGTGTAACACAAGTACGCGAATCAAAGCTCCAACACTGTAGCTATCTATCAAGCTTCAAATTCTTGAGCTTATATTCTCCCCCTTTTTCACTGAGTTTTACAACTCAAGCTCAATAACCTTCAAACACACTATGCATCTTAACTCCCCCTGAATCAAGTACCATCTCCCCTTGCTTGAATGAAACTCTGTGAAAAACTTCATGATACTTGTTGGACCAGAATCAAAAGTCACCAGATCCAACTTCGACTCTAACAGTAGAGAATCCATAAACTCTAACACTTCTCTCGATATCTTCTCGACATGACTATTCTCCTCCTCTTGAACTTTTCAGCTAGCCACAAATACCATATTCAGGATCTACCCGAAATAAGATGAATCTCTACGAGCACCTTCTCTGATACCAATTGTAAAAACAAGGTATGTGGCTAAACCTATATGATCGAGTACATGTGTTCGTATGCAAGTATATATGAGCATAAAGAAAAGAGACATATAGATTTGTTAACGAGGTTCGTTTCCTACATCCCCGGGACCACGTCCAGAACTTATTTATTAGAAAAGGCCGCAACAAACCATTGCTATATGGTATCCAGCACACACCCGTGCCTACCACTCTAATCTAAAATTACAATGAAAGGGAACTACTACTCTGACAAGTATAGTTCTCCATAACAAAACTACCAACAGATCTCCATCTGTCTGGTAGGACGACGTCACACACATCCATATGCATCTTCAATAAACCCTAGACGTGTGACGACTTCATCTCACCATCTTGTCTCTTTATACTCCAATAAGCAAAACCCTAGCTCATTAAGCCAACTAATCTTTTCTCATTAATTAGGTTTTCCTTAGCAATAAAGTCCTTAAATCCCACGTGACTTTTGCCTTTGGATACATATTTCGTCGGCCAAATATATGAGAATTTTCTATTTCATCGCATCTTGCTGATTCCTTTTTATTCTCCGAAGTGTGTGTAACACACCATTCTATGTGTGTAACACAAGTACGCGAATCAAAGCTCCAACACTATAGCTATCTATCAAGCTTCAAATTCTTGAGCTTACAAACGCTGCTGATTAAATGACATATGAACAGATATAGAGATCATATATAGATAGATAAACTGAACCTGTGGTTTTGGATCTCCAAGAAGTTCAGACCAGTTCGGCTCTGAACCATTGTCAACAGACATAAGATGATCTGCCCAACTTTGCCACTCGCTTTTCTCATGAAGCTCCACTGATGAGCCCACCCTAACGTCACCACTCTCTGCTTGTGGATTCAGAGCAGGGACATTGTCAGAAAAATCAAAGAAGTCTTCAAGTGGATCTGAAAACTTTGGAGGGTGCTGATTAATCAAAAAACAATCATGTGGCCTGGTGGAAACAGTTTTATTGTTAGTCACCATTCCATTATGAAACGATTTTTTACGTGGGTTTTTTATTTGACGCGGACTTCCATTTGTTCGATTATTCCAGCCCATCAATGGTGTTAACGATATGTAACATTCCAGAGCTAAAAGAAAATACTGTTCCAGTAAAAATAAATAAGCATTAAGCACCACTAAACAATCTATAACTTTACGTCAGGCAATAATATCAATAAGTGTCTGCTCACCTAAACACATATCTAATTAGGATCTAACCATTTTTATTACAACTTAGACTAAACACTCACCGTAAACATGTTTTCACATATAAAAGAACATAAAAGAACATGTTCATCATCAAGACATTGAAATAATTTTATAATTACCTAATGACTTATATTTTATAGCATATAACTATAAATATAAATACAAAATATATGCTGCACAAAAAAAAATACAAACATATAATCAAACTTATACGAAAATCATGGACGTAGCAAATTATAAGAATAAACAATTATTGGAAAATGTAACACAATTACATAATAAAAATGAAATATCTTTATTAGCTAGACAGACATATGATTTTAATAAAAAGTTTAAAATTAAATAATAAATATACTTTAAATAATTTTCACAAACTGAGATGAAACTAAATATATTTTTTTCTTACACCCCGCCCGTAAAGCAGGTCAGCCCTAGTATACTAATATAAAAACGAAAAAGATTGCAATTGTGGATAGCCAAATAAACTTTTTTATCATGTATGTAATTAAAAAAGCCGTTTGTCATATTAATATTGTTTAATGTATTATGTATACCACTAAATACATTTTCATGCCGGTTTGTATAGGTTACAATTGTGGATAGGTTGTATCAGGTTTTCTGTAAAACAATTTACTGTATAATAAAATCTGGTGAGAAAAAATCTAACCAAATTTAGCCATAAATGTAAATATTTTTTTAATAAATTTATTAATTTCATAATTAGTAATGTAATATTATAAATTAATGTTAATAAATTTTATCATAACACTAAAAATAGAATTCTATACATTTTTTTATAAATCTGATAGTTATATTCGATATTATATAAAATAGAAGTAATATATGAATTAAATATGAAAACATGTTAAATTGGTAAATTAATATATTTGAAAAAATTAATTTCATTTAAATAAATAAATAAAATATCATTGAACGTTTAAAAAGATTAAAATTCATAAACTATGTAATATTTTATATAAGAAATAAAAAATTTAAAATATGTATATTTTTAAAGATGGTAAAGTATATTTTTAAACACAACATAAAAATATTAATTATTCTAAACTTATATCCTTTCTATCGTATAAATAAATAAAATTTTAAAATGTATTGTATAGAAACTGTAGAAATTGAAAAATAATATTTTGAAAGATATACTCAATTCAATTTTTTCATATTATAGATTTATTGTACTGAAATCAAAAATAGTAATACCTAATAATAATTAATAACAAAATAAAATGTATAAAACAAATCAATATATATTAATAATGCCGAATAAAATACCTAACCAATAAGATTATAGAGTTACGCTGTATATAACACTAAAATACAAATAATATATTTAAAACATTTTTGATAATATTAAACATATATATTCATAAAATAAAAAGTTTCCGCATAGGTGAGCGGGTCAAAATCTAGTTTTTACTGTATTATGGAAGTTTGCCCCAAATGCGTACGAGTAGAGATGTAAAATGGGCGGGCTAGGATCATTTGGGCGTGTCCAAATGGACACCTTTTTGGACGGTTTTGGTCAACGCAAAAATAGGACAATATCCAAATAGGGTCATGTTTAATTGGGCTGCCCATGAGACCCAAACCTCCCATTTAGTGTAAATACCTAATTTTATTATAAAAGATATAAATATTCTGAATTGCATATATAATATAGATTTTATTTCATGGTTTTAATATATAGTTTATAGTTCTGGAAATAAAATTTGATTTTATGGTTTTAAAGAAAAAAATTCAATTAGTTTTGAGGAAAACTTGATCTTTCGGTTTTGACGAAAAAAACACGATTTTGCAGTTTTTGTGGGAAAATGCGATTGTGCAATTTGAAAAAAAAACATGATTTACAGTTTTGACAAAAAAATGTAATTTTGTGGTTTTGGTGGAAAACACGATTTGTGGGAAAATGTAATTTTGCGGATTGGATGGGAAAATGCAATCTTACGATTTTGGGACAATGATTGTGCGGTTTTTGCGGGAAAATGTGATTTTCAGTTTTGGCGAGAAAATACGATAACCATTTTTATGGAAAAAAAAAACGTGATTTTGCGGTTTCGGCAGAAAAACACGATTTTACGATTTTGGTGGGAAAACATAATTTTGTAATTTTGACGAAAACATGATTTTACCGTTTTGGCGGAAAAACATGATTTTGTGGTTTTGGCAAAAAAAACGCGATTTGTAGGGAAAATGTAATTTTGCGGAATGTACAGGAAAATGCAATCTTACAATTTTGGAAAAACACAGTATTTTGTGATTTTGAAAAAAAAAATGTTTTAGTGATTTTAGTAAGACAAAACAAAATTGTAATTTTTTCATAATTTCTTAAACTTAGACATTTTAGTAATTTGGGCCGTCCAGTGTCCAGATGATCAAATCCAATTTTGTCCATGATGCAATTGGATTTCGCCCATTTAAACCCGTTCAAATTTGGTCCAATATGGATATATCCATATTAGTCCATAACAATTTAGACATGTACCGCTCATGGATAATCCACATATTTGACATCCATAGTGATTCTACTTGGTAAGAGGAACTATAACTATAAACATGTATCATGTTCTCTTGTCCATGAGAGGGTGCGGCAACAAACATGGATGATGGATCACTACACATCACTTAATGATCCTAATGTCGCTACGGATGAAAAACTAAGGTACTTATTCACACAACACAAAAATACTAAATCACTCTTAGAAAGCAGAGTCATGCTTCTTTGGATTGTCTAGAGATTGCGAACGAGTTGTAATGAAAATTGTCTTATAGAAACCGTTTAAAGGAACTCAATTCCACCTTTAAACCATTGATTATAATTTTTCTAAACAAAAAAAAAAAAAATTATTAGCCGAAAAAGGAATAATAGAAGAATTTCATGAATAAGTGACAAAAAAAAGGAAGAATCTCATGAACACCAACTAAATACCTAAAGACTCGCACGCATTCGGCTCGACGAGCCACCGCGAAACATCATCGACCACTCAATGTCTCCGTCATCGTTTTCCTCACTTCCCAACGACATCGTTTCGGACATCTTAGCACGCGTGCCGAAACGCTTTCACCCTACCCTCTCTTGCGTCTCCAAGACCTTCCGCCGTCTCCTTCTCTCCCCGGAGCTTCACAAGATTCGCTCTCTCCTCCGCAAAGACTCACTCTTCATCTCCTTCGCCAACAAACCTAATGACGCCGCCTGGTTCACTCTCCGCAGAGCCGAGAACAACCCCACAGAGAACCGCTTCGTCTCCATCGACCTCGTGTTCCCTTCTCAGAGAGAGAAAGACCCCTCCATCGTCTCCATAGGCTCCGAGCTGTTCTTTATCTGCGGATCTTTCTACCCTTCGTCGACCATGTACGTTCTTGATTCAAGAACTGGTAAGTTTCGTAAAGGACCTAGCTCGAGAGCTGATAAGTTATACAGAAGCGTGGGTGTAGTGGGGAGCAAGGTGTACGTGGTCGGGAGCTACAGAGACGACGAGATACACGTGGAGGCTTTTGACGTGAGGACGCAGACTTGGGAGCTAGCTCCGTTTCCTGAGGATCAAAGGTCGTGGTGGGGTTTGGCTGCGACCGTGTCGTTAAACAGGAAAGTTTGCACGTTACGTTATTTTGACAATGTTGCAAAGTGTTACGATACTAGAGATGGGTCTTGCGAGAGTTTTGGTTTGCCTAAAGGTGATTGGTTGGGGAGAACGGGTGCTTGTGTGATGAACAATGTGTTGTACGTTTATTACGCTAGGTTTGGGCTGATGTGGTTTGACTCTGAGTTAGAGATGTGGAGAGTGGTTGATGGTTTGACTCGTCTCAAGAAGGTTTGGTCTGTTGTTGCAATGGCGGAATATTATGGGAAGATGGCGTTGTTGTGGGAAGACAAGGTTGGTGGTGAAAGGAAGGATGTTTGGTGTAGAATGGTTTCTTTGGAGAGGAGTGAAGAAGGGGTTCAAGGGATTGCTGAAGCGTCTCAACTTCTGGGGAGCGTCCCACGTGGCTACAGGTTGCAGCATTGTCTCTCTGTTTCTGATTAAAGAGACTAGATTGAGCTCTGATGTTTTGATACTTTGTGACTCATCATACTGAGCATATCGATATGAGTTGGTTTTACGTAAGGTGATGTTTATATTCAACAACGAACATGTTTACAAGATAATGAATGTGCCTCATGGCTAACTGATACAGTCGTTTGTATGATAATAGATTTGTATAATGCAAACACGTGAATTGGACTTTGTTCTATGTTCATTAGTTGTCTTGCTTTGTTTTTGTTAATGGTGAACAAATGCCAAAGATTAATTTCCAATGTCCTGGTAATTACAATGTAGATGGTTTTAGAGCCTTTTGGTTTTGTAAACGAGTTTTGGAGCCTTTTAAGTTCGCACTGTTCCCATTAGTGATATGGTTGATGCTTAGGTTGACTTCTTCAAATTCCACCATTAGATATGTTAAGAACTAGGAAGATTACATTACCATTACCCTCTTGAGGACTTAGAACATTCTAATTCTAAATAATCCAAATTCCAAACCAACAAAAGTGTTAATTTTAGGAGATGGGAAGCTTCATAATTGCACAGATTGTGTTCTATGTAGTCGCCTGGATCACTAGAAATCCATTTTTTTTTTTTTTTTTTTGGCATCTTCGTTTGCACATTTAAAAGTGTTTTTCAGTGACACTGTTTCCTATTAAAGACAGTTTTCATTACAACTCTTTCACAATCTCTAGACAACACAAAGCAGTATGACTCTCCTTTCTATGAGTGATTTAGAATTTTTGTGTTGTGTGAATAAGTACCAGTGTTTCTGCAATACCCACATTAGGATCATTAAGTGATGTGTAGTGATCCATAATCCATGTTTGTTGCCGCACCCTCTCATGGACAAGAGAACAATACATGTTTATAGTTATTGAAATATATAAAGATATTTGACACTTGCTTGACTTACATTTGGAAGTAATAAAATCTATTGGCTTATTATCTGGTTTAACAATATCGAGAGCCTGATTTTTTTGAGCCAAAAGTAGACAAATAAACCAAATAAAAAGAATCATAGTTCATCTAATTTTAAAATTTTAATGGATTAATATTTTGAAACTATAAAACTTATGCCAATGTTACTTAAACAAAAAAAAAAGCATTGTAACCAGTAACAGGTACAAACAAGTCAAGTAGTTATTTTTTTGAAAACATTTGTTATTTGGTTTGGTACTTGTTACTTGGTTTGATCACAGAAATTGTTTGATTTTATGTGATAAATATGGACAACTAGCGGTACGCGCCGTGTATCGAGTATCTGTGCACATGCCTACCCCTCCCCCTCTCTCTAAAATGGTAAAAATTGTAAGAGAAAATTACTAGAATGATACACAAAACCTTGTATATGACTAGAATAGCATATATTTTCTAAAAATTACTAGAATGTTTTTAGACTCCTAGTAAATTACAATAAACACCCTTGTTTAATTTTGTTACTATTGATACAAATTTTAATTATTAAATCCACATCATAATTTGACAATCCACGTCACTAACTAATTTGTGTCATCAGTTACACTGGAAAATCAACAGTCCCATATCTCCGGTGAACAAAAAAAAAAGTCTTAATGTTACATTCTTCTCCGTCACAACTATCGTTAAACCCTAACCGATTACGAAATCCCGAAATCCCGAAATCATCTCCGTCACAACTAATACTCTCGTTTCAAACAGTGTTTCCGATATCTTAAATCATCTTCGTCGACCTCGTTAAACCCTAACCGTCTCCGATATCATCTTCGTCGACATCCT